AACTGCAGCGCCTTAAAAAAGTTCGATTAAGCTCGTGAAAGGATACCGAGGCCTTGCAGATATCTGTTGGTCTCATTGGTATTGAGATGCCTTTTCTTTCCATAGCAATGACTCCTGGCGATAGATTAATTACTCCAAATTGGCGGGACTAAGACATCGGTTCTTTTTATGTTCCCTCGTGATGGCAACATCGCAGCGGTGTCTTGAGATTGGGGCTCGAAATGTGCTTAGAGGGCTCCCATGATATAGAAGGGATGAAATTGTAAAGTTCAAGCTTCACAAAGTATTCAGTGGGTATATAGAACCATACAAGAACGGTCCGCTGAAAATTGTAACGAGATTTGTCTGTCGCATAAGTGACTCACTAGAGCAAACGTCCCATTTTGGTACACACACGCCTTAATTTCATGATGTGTTTCTATTATACTGCCCCGGAATTGATGATCACCTGCTCAGTCATGCTTACAGTGAGATATGATATGATACTCGCCTCACATTGCCGAGCTCAATCAAACCTGGCGACATTCAAGCCGCCATGGCCGTAAATATTACCATGTGATACTGAACTGACGGCCATATTTTCACCCCGTTCATCTCCGTAACCATCGTCAGTCTATTTGACAGGACACGCGATTTCGACGGGATTAATCATCACCCTATAAATAAACCAATGAACTGGAAGAATGCCACATCGCTCGCTCTATCGCAGCATTCTATTTCTCTTTAGTAATCTCACGACTTCTCTTGACAAAAGCGACGCTATATCAAAAAATCTATAATCATGTTCGGCGACTTAATCTAGGCGCATCATTAGCATCGCACCAGGAATTGTAGAAGATCGACCGAAACAAACGAGAAGAAACGGTATCTCAACTGGTAAGAAGGTGAAATTAGATCTTGTTACTACAGCTGAATGGGCTAGTAGTAGCCCAGTCGTCGGTACTAGCAACGGTGGCTGTGATGTCATAACACTGTTACTACAAGATGAGTTTCCAGTCAGTGAGTTTGCTGAGAATATAAGATGTGAGATAAAACGAAGAGTAGAAGATAAAGTACTTGTCTAAGCCTGTGCTTCCACCAACTAGGTTCATTAATTCCATGATTCGTCTAGATGAGAGGATGAGTTTCAAAAAACGATAAATTCGCAATGTTCGCGGCAAATGAAGCTCTTAATCAAGATAAATTTTGGAGTTCAATCATTCTGAAACACAATTTTTGATCGAGATTTGTATGTAGACCACTGTAGGACTCGGTTGATATAGTATATAGGATCTTACTGAACAGAGCTCATCTTAAATAGGAGAATATAGAATATGAACGTGCGTGTCAGATAGTCCGGATTGCAATTTCACAATAAGATGCTCATGCTCATCGAAATAACTTGAAACAGTAAATTCAGTTTGACCATTAGATCAGTTAAACCCAGGAATTGTTTAAAGTGATCAAAGCATGCTCAGAGATTCAAAGCTCGAAACGTTTCAAATTGGACTGTATTTCAGATTCTTAGACACGGTGCTTTTATGAACGAATTCAGAAGGCAGAATACATGAATGATGCAATGCGAGGGCAAAAACAACGGTATGTGTGACTTCAGACATCAGCAGCGAGAGTACTCTCTCACTACGAAGTCTGGGGATTTCATTTTTCGTCTATCCAAGAAAAGATCACACTGAAAAAATCTCGTATCGTCCGGCTCCATCCCTTCGACTCTCACCCACGATTTTTGTGACAGGTACCATTTGATCCAGACACTTCCTTCTCATTTGGCCTGTGATACTACCTTCAGTCTGTGCACACACACTGGTTAATCTTGAGATTTACCTTTCAATTGAATCAACTATATTCAATTTCTCCTTCGGCATCCGCCATTCCCCCCTCCCTTCCCCTCTTTTCTCCTCCTGGGCTTTAGTGGCCATGCCCTCTCATTGATACATAATACAACTGCTCCATAGAGGCCAGAGAAAACACTTCGAGAGAATCCGTAACTTACAGAAAACTTTAGAGCATGGTGATTGGCGAGATCATCCAATGTTCCGATCTTGAGTTCGACAAATCCAATGGCCCCCATTACACTTTTCATCCTTTCGACCTAGATGTAGCAATCGAATAATACGTAGAAGTAAGTTGCACTTAAGGCAAATGGTGCCATCAAACCTCATAATACATCAATGAGTTTGAGGGTGGAGTATATGGCGTGGTTGTGTCGGCACATCTAAGTACCTATATATGATGATGAATTGCTCCATCCACTTGTGATTCTCATGTGGCCTGTAACACATTTCAGTATTCCATAACAGATTTTAAAATCAGGTGGTCTCTGTCTTATACTTGAATGCTTTATATCGCTATTTCAGTCCAAACTCAACAATGCAAATGATGATGATCTAGGTCTTGCGGGCACAATTTGATCTTCAAAAAAGATACACACTAAAATTTAACTCCGACCCCACACCGCGCTTACACTAACGACTTAGAAAGTTCGGCTTCAAAAGAATATCCTTAAGCTGCAGTAATAGGTCGATAACTAGGTACCTATCATAACTCTTTTAATTCACCATTCAATTGTTTTGATATTTGAAACCCCTTTCAATTCAATTCAGGTCTTCTTAAAGGTCACCCTTTCGCGCGCAAACTTCAACTTTCCTTCCAGGAACCTCAAATAATCCGAGTCTGCACCACTTCCTGGCATCAAAGACCACCGGACGATTCTGCAGCTTGCAGCAAACACAACACATCTCATATTTAGGGATTAGATTTATCCCTCATCTTTGAACAATCAAACAAGCTATACAAATACACGTCAAGGACTCCAGATACGCGCTCAAGAACCAACATTTACAACAAACGACATCTATAAGAATACAATACTTGCGACCCTTCCACATTCCAACATGGCGACCGACATGGATATCGATATGGATATCGACGTTGGAATTATTGAGGAATTGCCCGTTCCAGATATGGTAGACATTGAGCTGATTGTAAGTACTTTCGACGTTTTAATGTGCATGCGCCGGTGGAAGACACAAATGCCAGGTCGGAGGCCCTGCTCGATGTGTCACTTGGACAACATTTTCACCAACATTGCACTAACTTATGTATACAGCCGGATCAGCCTGCGGCACAAAACGAAACCTCAGCTCCAAATGATAACTCTGGTCCAGATGCAGAAAACCCTACACCAGAGAAAGTCCACATTCGCGGTTTGGACAATCTTACCACTCAGGATGTAAAGAACTTCGCGCAGCATTATTTCACCGAACATATTTCACGAGTAGAATGGATTGATGATTCTTCATTGAATTTAGTGTATGGAAGCAGCGATATTGCTGAAGCTGCTCTTCGAAAGTTCTCTGCTCAAGAGCTTCCGGAGGATATTTCACAGCTTCCAGTCCTACAATCATTTCCTGCCAACCCTTTCCCTGAAAATCCGAAAATCAGCTTACAAGTACGCATTGCCGTGGTCGGAGATCGCAAACAGAGAGGGGCCCGAGAAAGAAGTCGCTTCTACCTTTTCAATCCTGAATATGATCCTGCAGAGCGCAGAAAGCGCGAGGGTGGACGAAGATATCGGGACCGAGATGATGACGGGTACAGAAGTCGGAGGTATGACGAACGGGAACAACGCAATCGGCAGCGTGGAGATGCAGAAGCAGGGTTTAATGCAAGTCTTTACGACGATGACGAAACAGCTTTGGCAACTAGAGCTGCAAGAGGTCGTGGACGGTCAGGATCTGGCTCGCCTTTTAGCGATTTTAGGGAACGAACTGGCAATCGACGAGGCTCCGGTTCGCGAGAGTTGTTTCCAGATAGGAGTGGAAATGATGGAAGATTGAGAGATCGAAGCGCATCGCCCATGAGGAATGAAAATAGAGCTAGAGATAACAATAGACGACGTCGAGACACAGCTGCTGCAGAGAATAGGTCGAAAGCTAAGGATATTAAAGTTCGCCTTCGCAGAGAATCTGCTACAAAGGAACTCTTCCCGAGCAAATTAGGCACTACTCAACGAAAGTCTGGTGCTTTAGATGCTGCAGACGAAACAGCAGATTTATTCGCAAATAGAATGCATATCCCATTTCTTGATGGAAGCTCAGATATTCGACCTAGCAAACTCTCATTGGCAGAAAGGATTACATCGGAACAGCCACAGCAATCGCAAGGCTTTAGCATTCGTGGAACCGCAAAGCCTGCTTCTACTGGGTTCTCTATCAAAGGTTTAGCATCCGATAATTCAACCATGAAGGAACTATTTCCTTCTCGCTCGGGGAGTGGGAACACCGGGAAAGAGCTCTTTTCGGAGAGGATAGTTGGAAGGGGTGCAAGAAGGCAGAAAGCGGAAGATTTATTTTATTAGGTTTAGGAGGTCATGAAGCCACCCGTAGGCATCTAGTGATATTTTCTCTGCGGTTGACAGGATTGCACATAGCGTTGGGGTATCTATGCTTTAGCAAATGGAGTTATATGGGAATGGATATGGAAATGGAAATGGAAAAGATACCATTATACTCTGCACATAGTAAGCAGCATTTCACAAGCAAGCCGAAGCTCGTAGTCTATTTATATTATTCAATAATCACCTCTCAAAGCTTCTTAGTTACATTTTCGCAAGTCAATAAAATTGTGAACCGTTTTCCAACAATGACGGGACTCGCGATATTGTAGCCAAATTCCCTTTTGCTCAATTGATGGATGCTATAGACTGAGTCAGTTCACCATCAACGGCTTCCAAACTCTATTCACTTTTGAGACCATTGTAAATAATCTTCATAGCTCGACAAATGCTGCTATAGCTCACTCAGAACGAGATATTATTGGCGCCAGTGTCAAAGATTCTTGACATCTTACTTTTGTTGGTACGGCCGTCAATGGTTTGCTCCTTCCCTTTTCAGTTATATAATGCCTTCCAATTATTACCACCACATCAATTCAATCAGACTTCTCAAAAGTCGAACCACTATATGAATCATCTCCATCTCCAGTGAATCCCAACATCCAAAATGGATCAATGGCTCCGACCCGTCTTCGCAAGGACTCGAACACCAGTTCAATCCGCCCCAAGCAATCATTCTGACGAACCTCACGAAACCGAAGACACCATGAAATCCATCCGTCCTAGTTCACGCGTTTCCTCCTATATTGGGTTTCGCTCATCAACTTCGAATCTTCATGCACCTGCAGGTGATACGTTTACCTTTCAACATGTCAATATTCCCGAAAATGTATATCATAAACCATCTGGAAGTCAGATGGCTGAAACACTTAAAGTGATAATGATGACGAGGAACTTAATGGAGCCGATACCGGTGGAGTACAACACGTGTATTCTACATGTTTTGGAGTCGTATAATGATCTACAGGAGATGTTGGCTGTTAAGGAGGGGGAGATTGAGGATATTAAGGGAAGGCATACAAAGGACATTAGGGAGTTTGATGGTATGGCTGAACAGTAAGTTATATCTGAATGTAGACGAACATCTTTTGTACGAGTTGCTAATTATGCGTGTAATTCAAGGTGGAAGGCGAAAGAAAAAGATTATCAAAAAGAAATAAAGAATCTTGAAGTTCTTCTCTCCAAGACCGAGGGAGGAATGGAAAATGTTACGATGGCGCGCTCAAAAAGTGTTGTTCATGGGACTAGAAGAGCGGCGGATCTGTTCGAAGACGGTATGGAGAAAATAAAGCAAAATTTCGCGCGATATAGTTCTGGGAGAGGTTGGTTGCTCATCATCTCCTTTTTGGCTTTACATCATCTAACTTCCTTAGATTCTTCTACTACCACAACTGACTGGGATATTGATCACGTACAACAAATTACTTCATCGCGTCCACTAGAAACTCCTACAAATGCGAGTGAGCTCTCTCATGAGGAAGGAGATATACACCGCGAAGGAACGGTCAAATCTCGACGCAAAGAAAGTTCTTCAGTCCAAGATACCGAAAGTTTTTACTCAGCTGTGGACAACCAATCCACCCGCTTGACATCTGTACAACTAAATGAACTAGAAAGACAACATGCTACCGAAGAACTCGGTGTAATATTCGACTCATCATCGGAATCAGATGATACCAGTTCCCGCTCGGTTCTTACTGAAGGTCAAGCTCCCACTCCCAATCGCACGCCCAAAATCCCCGGTCTTCGCAATAGTAGTAAAGAGAAACCTCTACCCGATATTCCGACCAAGCATCAAGAAATAGATCCTTTCTTTTCAGGTGAAACAGGCAATGCAAGGCCATGGGTAGAACCACAAGACGACGGAGAAGTATCTTCCGTTGAATCCAGAAAGGGATTTTCGTTCAGAACAGGCGATGATACACCGTCTGTGCTGCACAAACCCTCGAAAGATATTCTGCGGAAAAGCAACACGGTCTCGGCGCCGGGGAGTCGTCTGAGTTATGTTATGAATAATGAAGATGAGTTTGTGACATTACCTAGGCATCCCATCGCGGATGCAAATTCGCAAGTTAAAGCAAACCCGAAAGCAAGAAATACAGGAACGAAGCCGATTTTGAGTACATCCCCGGGAAAAGAAACGTATGCTACGGGTTTGAGACAGCAGTTGGGAATAGGTAGGGCAGTGGGAAAAAGTATTGAGAGAGGTGACTCGAGTAGTAGTATTGTGACAGCTGTGAGGGATAATTCGGGCAGAAGTGAGAAGGGGAGACCGGTGAGGGGAGATGGAGGTGGAAAGGGGAATGCAAGTGGTGGGAAACAGAAGCAGAGTCAGGGCACTGCGGTTATGGCTGTAAGTAATTTTCTTCTTGGAGGTTAGAGTGTTGACTCTTAGATGATAGGATGGATTTACCTCCGTTCCTCTTTTATCTAAGGTACTTGATTGGACAAGCAACAAGAGAGAAGAACGGGAGAGCGGATGAGCGGGAATGTTTAAATGCTAACAATAATCTGTGAATAGGCCGTGAGAGCGATAGCAGCGAGTAACAAATCGGCCACTGCTAACGATAGGATCCAAGCTCATGCGAATGAATCTGATAGGAAGGAGATTGACAGGAGAGAAGGGGTGCCTTTTAGCCCTGAAAGAAGTCCCACGGGATCGCAAGTCGGCGGTGGTAGAGAGTGAGTGGGGGATTGGGATGGATTGGGTTGGGGCTTGCGGAGATTGAGGGGGGTCGATAGATGGAAGTATGGGTATGGATGAGAGGGGTTAGATGAGAGGGGGTTAGATGATGTTGACATTGTTGACGTTGTTGATAGATGGGAAATGACGCGCGTATATGTATAGTAAGCAAGGGTACTTACTTACTTGCTAATACTACTAGCTAGGTATTAAGTTGTAGAGGTGTTCATGTATCTGAAGGAGTAGGTAGGTAGATAGCTGGTACTTATACTTGTACTTATACCTAGGTAGATAGGTATCCCCTAGACTGCCAACAGAGGACACCTCGCTCTATTGACCAATCAGAACATCAGAAATTTGAGAATTCTCATTATCGAAATCTAAGGTTTTTATAATAATTATCAACTGTTTATAATAATATCTTTTAAAATCATTTCATAATTATTTTTAATAAAAAAAACATAGATATATATTTGATATATTTATTATTATTTTCTTAATAAATTTCAAATTTCAAATTTAATATAAAGGCTTTTTATTATAATATCATTTATTGAATTATTGATGGTTGAGCTCGTACACGGACCAATTAAGGTGTCCTAAGCCGGCAGTCTAGGGGATAAATAATATTATTTATAAATAACATATAATGTAATACAATATAATCTAATCTAATCTAATGTAATAATACATATCTACCTACCTACCTACTAATCACCTACTAATCACCTACTAATCACCTACTAATCACCTACTAATCACCTACTAATCACCTACTAATCACCTACTAATCACCTACTAATCACCTACTAATCACCTACTAATCACCTACTAATCACCTACTAATCACCTACTAATCACCTACTAATCACCTACTAATCACCTACTAATCACCTACTAACCACCTACCTACCTACCTACCTACTTATCACCTACCTACTCATCACCTACCTACCTAATCACCCGCTCCTCACTCACTCATATAAACAAACAACCCCAGAAACAAACAAACCCTAAAACTAAATCGTGATAGATCTGCTCTCCTCCTGTACTTACTTAGCTTGGATACCCGACATACATACCCGTCCATAAGCGAACTCCCTACATAATCATAACCATCCATCTACTGGTATCGTAGCGCCCAAGACGCTTCCAGACAGACGCTTCAGGGATTTCTCATTTATTCTCTTTTTTCGTGTTACCTCGTTGTCTATTGGACGAGTTTGAATTTCGTAGATGGTAATTTAAGTACCACACAACCAACACATACTTCATACTACATACCACATACACAATCTCAATGAAGAATAAAAAGTAAAAATCAACAATCAATTTATAATGGTATCATTGGATTCTATCATACATAGGTACATATTGAATGAGCATTAGCATGCATGGATAGCATAGCATTGTAGCATCGTAGTACAAAACACACTGCACGCATTGCACGCATCGCACGCTTAAAAAGACTAAAACCGCACCCCACCCACGACAATACGTACTCTCTTCTTCCGAGCCGAACGATTTAGTAACGCGTGCTTCTTTCTCGAGTTCATTGCCTCCCACCATACCGTCCATCCTGCACCCCAGTGACTTTTTGTGTATCCATTCCCTTGCTTGAAGGTTTTCTGTTTATGTTGTTTGTTTGTTTATCTGTTCGTTGATGAATCTCCTTTTTTTAATCCTGGTGCTTGGGGGATTTTCCCACACACCCAGACCCTATTGTCAAGTAGGGTTCCTCTCACTACTCCATCAAGTTGAATTCTTTCAACTTTCTGCTATCCCCATTCAATTCTTCTCAAACCCATTTGATAGCTTGCTTTCGCCTCTGGTCATCTCCCTTTCAACACCCTTCAACGCATCGAGTCCTGCCTTTTCCGCGGCTACGAAACTTGCTTTTCTGCCTGCCTTCTTTCCACTTGCTGTTGTTCTTCTGATGTAAGATTTAATGAAGAATCTTACGAATAGGAAGGTCAATGGGGTAAGATAGATAACATTAAGCCAGATAGCGAAAGTTTGACCACTGGTATCGATACAAGGGATTGTACGAGTTTCGGTGACGTATGTTGGAATTTTAGAGTGCGATTTAGGGATAGAAACAATTGGTGCTTGAGCGACATCTGAGACGGCTGGAGCGTTGACATTCTCGGCGAGACCTTCTTCGCCGACTGCGCGGTAAAGAAGTTTCTTGATCAGGTCGGCGACTCCGCTTGAGGTTGCGATTGCAGCGGCGGAGGTAGCGACAACGGATGCCGAGGAAGTAACTGAGGAGATGGTAGCTGGGATGGAGGGAACTTGGACGGTGACTGTGTAGGAGATGAAGGAGTGGATGGTGGCATATGTAGCTCCAACGAGGAATTGAATGATTTGCATGGTTGTGAGACTGCGCTTAAGAGCTTGTGGGATGGGTACGGAGAATGCTGTAAGAGTATAGTAGGTATACTGGAAAGCCAAATGTTAGTCTCAATTACAAGATTTTGGAATGATCAAGAACTTACCATTAATGCGTGAATTCCAGAGTTAACAAACACGAACATCCAAATTGGTGGTGACATGAATCGAATTCCAGCCCACATGCACATCATAGCTCCCGCATGATGGTAGGTTTGTAGAGTAGAACTTCTCTTTCCCTTTGCCAAAATAATAACAGTGTCAAGAACCTCATAAAACTTGCTAAGATAGAAAAACCATCCATAGAAAGCAAGTCCCTCATTCCATAATCTTCCCAAATCGGTAGAGTCTGGAGTTCCGGCACTTGTCAATTTGAATTCGGTTGGCAATGCCGCGTTCCATTTTGACATGCTTGCATTGTAAGACATAGCATTGTCCAAACCAGTAACACCATGGACTTTGCATAAACTATCGACGGTACCGGCGAGACCAGCTGGGCCCATTGGGTTTTGAATTGACCTTCTCAAAGCTCCAAACATGCCAACAAAAGTCCATCCAGAGTATACAGCCAAGAAAATGTTGTGTGCCACGACGAAAACGAAGAATGCCTTGGTTTTACTGATTGGCCAAGCTTTGTTTCCAGCGCGTCTGTTGTATTGATTGACCAGTGTAACCGTTATAGCATATACCGCAGCAATTGTGATTGGAACTCGCACATCGAGGGCGGCATTGTACCAGGAGGGGTCGATTTCGAATGGAGGGGCAGAAAGAGTCGAACCTGGTATTGGAGGAGGTAAAGTTTGAGGGTCGCCTTTTGGAGGAAAAGTGAATAGAGAGGGTTCAGGGTGAGAGAAATGGACAGTTGCGGAAGCCATTTTGGGTAAAATTGTATAGGTATCTTTCTTTCGAAAGGTTCGAGATGCAAGTTAGGAGTGAAGCCTTGCCTTGCGACGGAAGGGATGAAACCAAAGAATTTCAAAGAAATTTGATATCGATATCAAAACGAATATCAAATGAGGAAAGGGCCAAAATTGGAGAGAAGGAAAAAGTTAACTGGATCTCTCAAATTGGAAGAAAGTTAGATGTGAATTTTGAAGAGATCAAAACTCAATATCGTATGAGGATGAGGATGAGGGAGAGGAAGAGGAAGAGGAAGAGGAAGAGGAAGAGAGAAAGTAATGAAACTCTTCAACTCGTCTTGTTGATATACTAGATAGGTAATGTAATGTATAATAAAATTCCTGACCTTCCTTTGGCATGCAATAAGAAAGATCTCAAAGGGAAGAAATAGAAGAACCGTACGTAGATGTAGTAGTACTGTACCCTCCCTCTTCCTTCTAAATCCGGGCCTCGGTTTATTTTTCTTGAATGCCGTCCTTTGTAAGAAATTAAATTGAAATGATTGAGTGAAGTTCTCGTAATATTGAAGGTTTTACCAGGTAAATTCATCCATTTTCTCTTGGTTTCCCTCTTCATTTGATAGATCATAGTTTGATAGCCTCGCTTCAGCTAAAAAAAAATCCCAACAAATTTTGGACGAACAAAACCTTCCAATTCACCACACAAGGAAGGAGCCACAAAGGAAGGAAGCTGCAATCATCGGAAAGAAAAGATACTAGGATTAGCTGATTAGTTGATTGGTTGAGTGGAGAGTGGGTTATGAGGTCTTTTTCAGCCTTATTTGGTGCATCCTCCCATACATACGAGGGCGTGTTTTTGATGAATGCCGGGTCCATGCGCAGGGATATTTCCTTATCAAAATAAGCACAAACTCATCTATTTTGAAATTCAATAACAATTGAAATAAATATAGTATTTAAAAAAAAATTTAAATTTAAATAATTTTTTATATCAAGATTTATATGTAAGTTTAGTAAAGTAAAGTTATTAATATTTATAAAGTTATATTCATTATAAAAATCACACATAATAAATATTAATGAGTTCGGTTATTTTGCCTGGCATTTATCAAAAACACGCCCTCGTACAAAGTACATATATGATACAGTACATGAATGTTCAGTGCGCACATTGGATTTGATTGCGCATCGCATCTACCGCCTTTTGCTCCGTATACCGACACATTCTGCACTGTGGCATTGGTTAATGCGGTTAAACCGTTGACACCATACGCGATACATGATACATGATACACGATACGGTACCGGTCCACGATACAAGATACACGACTCACAAGTTTCCATCAAGATGCATCTTCACTGGTCAATCTTGCAGCGAGCCTTGTGAATGCAGGCTGGCAGGGTAGCTTTGAAGCAAGCCAACAGGTACACACACCAAATGTCAATTGAATGACTAAGCTTTATCCTCCTCTCCCCAGTCCCAGATGAAAAAACCCACCTGATGAATTCTTCGGAATAGTGGCGAAAAGATGTTTTTATCCAATTTTTTGGTTTTTTGTGTGTGTTTTTGCCTCTCGCATCTCTCTTTTGCCTTCTGTCCGCTACTCCGCAGATATCAAAATGGGAGGAAAAGCGGGGCCAAATTCATCAGTTTGCTCTCAACAAAATGCACGAAAGTCGGATTTGCCCACATTGAGCTTGCTAGTCCGAAATAAAATTTGGAGTTTGAAAAATTAAAGGTCTGAAGGACAAAGTACAATGATACATCCGAGGCTAGTTTTGGGGATGTGCTGATTTCATGTGACAATCACCCAGTTTGGGGTTTTCGTAATATGCTGTTACTATTGCGGTTGCTACTGTCGTTGTTACTATTACTGTTGCTGTTACTACGATGTCATCCAATTTAACATTAGTTGTTAAACACATGGCTTGACATTAGAAAATTCGGAAGATGCAGTTTTTTTATGGTCATGACGGACTAGCTAGTGTAACATTTGTGCGGTACACAAGGACTGATGTTATTGGCTTGGCCACTGGTTGCCCCTCATTCTAACAAATCGTTAATTCTGGGGTATGCATTGAAGCCGCTCAAACGCCTCAAGCTCGCGTTCTCCGTTCACGTGTTTTGGTGTAACCCTGTCACTTGAGGATCAAAGAAAGACCAAGCAGGAGCTGAAATTCAAGTGAGCATGAGCATGAGCATGATATTTATAGAGTCTTAACTATGCATGTGTATATTAGGATCTAAGATGTCGCTTCACAAAGTTGTCTATTATGATTCATTTAATAGTTGTTACTCTCAATTCATTCATAACAAGTGAGGACTGTCAGTCAATCACTACTGATTTAGATGTTCGACTATCTATAGCAGTCGAAACTTCAAGGATCTATATCATCTGAAAGACTCGTTCCTTTGAAAAAGTCACATCGCCTAAAAAGATATTATTCTTCGAGGCATTCACTCGCTTGATCCATTGAGTTCATCTGAGATGTTAAATCATTTAGAGTATATGTTTAATCATAACTACTAGGTACAGGTCGTCCCTTCCAGTATCGGGTTCTTGAACTCGTCTTCTCGTATAAGGTGGAAAATTAGGTTAAGGAAAGGCCGTGGTTCAATCTAACGAATTCTGGTCTGGTATATATCATTTGTTACAAGGGTTTTTAGTACACTTCTGAGTTGCTAAAGCTGCGCGATTATCATTATTTTCAGATACCTATGTCCATAAGGGATCTAAATAATATACCAGCCAGACCCCCCAGATGACCACTTCACTTTGATGCCTAAAATCTGGCTGTCCCAGATTCCTGAATTTCCACGATCCATTCCATGTATAAACTCATTTCTCAGATTAACTTTGCTTGATTGCCTCCATCACTAGACTGCTTGAAAACGAAAATCACAAAATCAGGCCTCGCTTTGCTGACTCACACGCCATAGAATTCCAGTGCTCCAAAATATACGAATAAACCTTGGGCAACTGTTGGTCTCCCGTTTTACCTTTCCTCACTTTCACCATCAATTAGCTTTTTGAATCTCTCCGAGAGATCTATCTTTGTGCTGCTCCAGCGCGAGTTTAGCTAGTAGCTAATTCCAGAGCGAGGACAGATTTCCAGCGCGCTTTTCCTTGGCTTAGTGAAGAGCTAGAGATCTTCTCGGACCAGATTTTCGGCTTCGATGTCACCATTTGGAGACATGGCGGGACTTGTGAATCGGTTGTTTTCGGTTGTCTTCAGCATATAGTCATCTTGACCAAGTCGCTCTAGTGGCCCGCGTGCTACTAAGGTGGAACAAACTCGGTTGTCACTCGACCAAGTTCTTGAAGCGTCTTCTGGGAAGGACAATTTTGGTACACTTTGTCGTATCGTGGGACCGTGGACAGAAGCTGACTGGGGTAGTGTCTGACTTCTTGGAGCACGAGGTAAAGAGAAAGGGAAACCAGGGAATGCTGTGGTATGTATGGTGTTTCTAGGTGGGGATGGAGGAAACTTATCAGCTGATTCAGTATGTGGTTCGAGTCCTGGACGAAGGAGGAAGAGAGGAAAAATATGAGTTGGTTTGACGGCTTCGGATCCATTCTGATTGCCAGTGCTGGAGCGCGACAAGTGCCTAGCATTTGTATCCCGGAATTTTTGTTCGTACCAAGCGGCATCTTTTCCACAGACGGCAGCCTTTGCTGTAACCTCGATCTTATCGTAACGAGGAAATTGCTCAGCTATATCTCGTAGGAAGCCAAGCATTGGTTTTCCGTCAACCAAGAGTATTTGGCCCGCCGCATTCATCGCCGGTAACCCAACGGAAACTCGCGTGGAGAGTAATTTTCCGTGCGAGTCGTAGTCAGCGGGAGCCTTGAGATGGCGCATCATCTTAGAGGATATGTACTCGGTACTCATTACAGCGCACGCAAGGTCCCCATAGAACCGACGGGTCGGGAGTTTGTTATCTCGTGGAGACGGAACACTTGGGTTAAAGAGAATAGGCCTAGTGTGCCAATCTCGAACTTTACCATGTGTGGTAGTATTCTGTTCTATCCAAGTCGCTAAGGGGGTTTCTCGTTGCAGTCTTCGAGCCGCACACAAGTCTTGTGACTTAACCCGCGTGTTTTGGCGACTGCCTGTCTTTTTCCGGGGTGCAGTATTAGAAGGAAGACGTTGGTTGATCGTTGGCCGAGGAGATTCCGCAGTGATGGCTGGGGTGTTGCAAATTATTTCCTCGTCGGTATCGAGCGCTCTCTTTTTGCGGGCCGGGGCCGGGCCACTCTGAAGACTATTAATTACTGTCTCGCTTCCCGGGTCGCTTCCCGAGTTGTTTTCAGAAGCTTCTCTCGGTCCCTCTCTCTTTCTCTCCCCTGCCAGAAGCTGTACTGCCATATCTAACACATTACCTACGAAGCCATGCACCTCTTTTTCGGTATAAGTGCGAGGGTCTGAGGAAGTCCTGGGCATGGCTACCTTTGTAGCTGATGTGTCGGGAGCAGCTTGTACCCGAGGAACTTTCTTCTGGGATGATTGGTTCATGTTGTGTTGGTAAGGCCCGCTTCTGTCTGAGTTGTAGTTGTAGGTGGTGGAGATCAGGGTTGGCCGATCTAAACGAGAAGAACAATGCGGTTTCCCCGAGTGAGTACGAGTAGCGGGAAACGAAACTCGGACGATGCGGAACTTGGGGATAATATGATAATATTGCATAAAGATTTGGAAATTTGCGATGGCAAAATTGAAACTGAGGTTGTATATATAGGTACCTATGTGTGCAAAGGCGCTAAGACTATTTTGGCGTAGTTTCTTGTTATGGGAAGTGAATGATGGATACGTACCTACTGACCAGTGAGATTTCGAGTGAATAGAGAGTTCGAGTGAATAGAGATTTGAAGTTGATAGAAATTTCAAGTAAATAGATAGGCAGGTACTCAAAGTACCTACCTAGGTAAATAGAGATTTCAAAATTGAGAATATTGAGGATAGAAGATTTTTCTTGTTGTGAATCATATATTGGTATTCTCCATCAAGATTCGTGTCTTTTAGGAATATGATATGCATTTGGTATCAACAATTTCACCATTCTTTACACCCGTGTACTTTTCCGCCGCAAGCCCACCCTCATATGTCCTTTCCCACCTCTATTATCTCGAAGAGCATATGGAACAAAGTGCAGCCTTTGAATATCAACCTTGGCGAAATGGTCCTCGTTGCGGGCTAAACATGGTCCTGAATATTCTGGAACTTGAAGCAGTGTAGCACCGTCGCGGACCGTCAATTTCTTATATGGTTCAGCGGAGTCAACGTCGGTTTCTGATATCTCACAGTCGGTATCGAGAACGAGATTCTAAATGTGGGTTAGTATGGGATTGGTAGAGAGAGATAGAGAGAGGGAGAGGTTTCTTGCCTTGAAGTGATCTTCCACCCATGGGTTATCGAAATCTTCCACGCAGTAGATTATAGGACCACGAGCTAGCGCTACGATATTTTGGTTCGTGTATGGATGTGGTGATATAAATCGCGGTTTCAGAGTGATGTTTAGTTGAAAAGACGGGTTTGTTTTTAGATAATCCGGGGAGAGAGTTAAGTATCCTTTTGTTATTTTTGAGGCATGCTGTTTACATTCGGGAGATATCTGAATTGATTAGCTCGCTTCTTTGTAGGATGGAAAGTCTCTTACTGTCCATTCTTCCGCCCAACCGGGTATTCTTAATCTGATTGTTGTTGATGTTGTTTCAGGGCTCTGGAGCTTAAATCGGATGTTTCCGTCCCATGGCCAATCGGTCGTTTGTTCGAGCTGCGCCGTGTGCTCACCTACTGGAATACTCAATACTGCGGAAGCATATGTGTGGACGTTTACTTCTACGGTATTATTTTTTTCGTCACTGGATGAAGACCCTGATTCACTATCAGCTTGATGATCTTCCCGAAACAATCAAATTTGCTTACAGAGATATCCTCCAATATATCCCAGAAGTCTGGCAACATTAGGTGGACAACAAGCGCACGTAAACCACTCCGCTCGTCGGGATAAATCTGTATCGCTCGATGCAAGTTGGTTCACATATGTGAATTTGCTTCCATCTTCCGACATGCCAGTGGAGACGGCGTTGTAGAAACATAACTCCATGATATCCGCATACTTGGCATCCAAATCAAGCTAGTGACATTAGCATGTATGCGCGACTCTTCGTTGATTTCCCTACCTGCAAAAGTCTTTCGGCGAGCATCATGACGCCTATAGATGCGCAAGTCTCGGAATAACATCCTCCCTCGTCGGTACCTGAAGGTAGAAAATAATCGATTCCGAATCCTTCCCATTGCTTTATGGCTCCTATGCCTCCCGTCAGGTACATTTTCTTTTGTACCATGTTATTCCATAGTCGTTCCACTGCAGTTCTTTTTGTTGCGGTGTCTTCTGATTTGTCAATTCGTACGAGATCAGAGACGGCGGTCAATAGGTACATTGCTCGGACGGCATGGCCTTCAATGGTTTCTTGCTCGACTATTGGTTTGTGTGCTTGTTGATACCTAGTTAAATGGTTAATGTCCTTTTACCCGACTAAAGACTCGATACCTACCAATAACTTCGTTTTTCAGGAAAATATTTTGGCATTTCATCTGGTCGATCCCCTCTTATTTTCGCCTCTACATCATAATAATGCCGACCATCTTGCCCTTTTGGATTTCCCCTCTCGTCGATGAAATATCTTGCTAAATTCAGATGCTTTGGATCTCTCGTCTTTTCATACAATCGCAAAAGAGCAAGTTCAATCTCGGGGTGTCCAGGATATCCGTGCTTTTGTTCTGGATTTGATCCAAATGTTCTGGATAATAAATCTATATATTTCAGAATTGGTTCTAGCAAGAGATCATTCCCATAATATTGATTATGTGCAAGCGCTGCCTCAATCAAATGACCAGCATTATATCTGTGTATCTTCATTAGCCGCAATCGATATACTTCAAGGGCATTCTCACAATTCATGTAGATCCCTTAGATTCGTGAATCTCTTTCCAGGCTCCACCACGGTGAAATGAATATTCAAATATCCATCATCCTGCTGAGCAGATCTAATCATATCCACCAATTCTTTGACCGCACTGTCAATCTCCTGATTTTTCTTATACTGTAAGAAATAACAGGCTCCCTCTATCCATTTCGCAACATCTGAATCCCAGAATAAATGGTTGGGCACTGGCCACACATCCGGTTCATCGTTGTATGATGCATGCCATTTTAATTTAAATGCATCGTATCTTCCTGTCGTCTTCAAGACTTTCAGCTGGTATAATAGTGTGGTTGAATACACGACTTCTCGTCTGCGACTAATGAATCCTGGGGTGGTGAAGGTGGTTTGGAGATATGAATTTTGAGGATATGCCATGGCGGATTTGGTTATTACTCTCGTGCTTGTATTTCACAAGCCTGATATCTTATATACGATAAGAGAGTATTATAATTTATATGTATAATTTCATCCCATTCGTTTAAGACATACTTGCACCAAGGTCATTCCGCATACGATAGTCGCCATCTGGAGTGGGTCTGAGTACTCCCGCCCACCGGAGCCACCCCATGTTTACCCCACGATCTCCCACCGGAACCTCACCCTAGACGTTCTCCCCAGCTTTGAATACTCGTTCCATGAGACGAAAACCAACACATATCGTATGCGGGGTTCTTCAAATATGCTAGCTAGAACTACCACGTTATACTATCCCAATGCACACACACATATATAGACCAAGAACATGCACCATAGATATCCTACCTCGCATCTCCATCTATCCATCTCCGTTTCTCCAAGTGAACAAATATGGGGTTTCTTCAAACTTTCCTTCCGGCGAATGATCGCTATGCTGCGTTGTTACTCTATGGAATGGTCTTCTCGACTTGTTTCAATGGATATGATGCGGGCATTATGACTGTGATTTTGGCAGATCCGCAGTTCACGAAGTATTATGCGGTTAATGCGACGAAACAGGGGGTTATTGCTACGATTCCTTGGGCGACGACTGGTATGCTTTGATAGCCTTGATAGACTTGAGATATATACATGGATGAGCATGCTGATGTAAGAAATATAGGATTTGCTCAATTGTGTATCGGAGGTCCATTGGCAAGTTTGGTGGGTAGATTATGGGCCTTGAGAATTTCCATCGCCGTTATGATTATTGGAGTGTGAGCACCTCTCACCCCATCTCTTCATCTCAAACAAAACTAATAGCTACAGCATCATCCAAGTCGTCCCCAACACCTACGGCGTCCTCATTCTCGGCCGTCTAGTAACCGGTCTTGGTTTTGGCTGCGTCTACATAGCAACCAATCTCTACGTCGCCGAATGTGCGCCCCGCAGTCTACGCGGTTCCTTCGTTGGAACCGTCTCTCAATTCGGTTACCAACTCGGAACCTTCATCGCCTTCTGGTCCGGCTACGGAATGTCATTCCACACCTCCCCCTTCAACATCGCCTGGCGAGTCTCAAACGTCATCCAAGTCCCCATCGGCTTCATGTTCATCATTCTCTCCTTCTGGTATCCCGAATCTCCCCGTTGGCTATTAGAAAAATATCCCGACACACCCGAACGCTCCTTATCTACGCTCGCTAGACTTCGTTCTGGCACTGTCACAGATGATCATGTGCGTCTCGAATTCCACGAATTAGTATCCTCGCACGAATACCGTAAGAATTTCAAAACAGGATACATAGGACTCCTCTCCTCGGCCGGTATGCGCAAACGTCTCGCCTACGGTGTGTACGCCATGGCTCTGCAGCAATTCGGTGGGATAGCTGCCCTGACCATGTACGCAGCTATAATCTACAAATCGTTAGGCTGGGACCAGGGGCATCAAGCACTTGCTATAAATGGGATCCAAGCTGCGTTGCAATTGGTTATTGTACTCGTGAATACATTCACCGTGGATAGGTTTGGAAGGAAAAGTTTGTTGATTGCGGGATTCGCTATTCAAAGTATGGCGCTTTTGATCCTCAGCAGTTTGACAACTGCGTATCCGGATAATTCGAATAGGAGTGCGGCGATCGCTGAGGTGGCTATGTTGTTTATTGTGGGGTTGACGTAGTGAGTGATTTCTACTTCTTCTCTCAAAGATCTTGAAATTTGGAGGATTTTGCTAAATGATATCTAGCTGTTGGTCCAATGGTCCCGTAACACCAGCCATTGCATCCGAGATTTTCCCCCAAGAAGTTCGTGATAAGGGATTTGGTCTTTCGCTTCTGGGACAAACGGTTTGTTTATTAGCTCTAACACAACCGTGGCCAAGATTCAACGACGAAGTTGGCGGGAAGAGTTATTGGTTACTCTTCAGTTTGAATGTTGTTGCTCTGGTATGTATCCTCTTTCTTTCGTTCTTTCGTTCTTTCACATTTTCCCCACCTCTATCATCTTTCCTACAGAGTTTGAGAGAATATAACTAACGGAAAGTAGATCTCCGTAATTCTTATTCTCCCCGAAACTAAAGGCATGTCACTAGAGCGCATGGATGCTATTTTTGGCGAAGTAGATGCCGTAACAGCTGGC